GAGGGATACCTACCGCAACCGGTGTTTAATTGTGATGAAACAGGACTGTTCTGGAAAAGACTGCCTAAGAGGACATACATTACCAAGGAGGAAAAAGCTTTGCCCGGACACAAGCCTATGAAACAGGTTTACGCTTGTGCTGTGTTCAAATGTAAGTGGCGATTTGAAAACTAAACCCTTGCTAGTGTATCATTCTGAAAATCCAAGGGTTTTCAAACAGTATACAGTGCAGAAGAACCAAATGTGTGTGTGATGAGGAGGGCTAATAATAAGGCATGGGCGACTAGGATTTTTTTTCGGAGTGGGCGAATGAAGCGGTGTGCCCTGCCATACAAAAATATCTGCAGGAGAAACATTTGCCACTCAAGGCCCTGCTTCTCCTTGACAATGCTCCTGCTCATCCTCCAGGCTTGTAAGATGAATTGTTGCACAGATACAGTAATTTTCTCACATAAAGTTCCTTCCTCCTAACACCACTCCTCTAATTCAGCCTATGGACCAGAAAAATCATAGCGAATTTTAAGAAACTTTACGAAAGGGCATTTTTCCAGAAATGTTTCGAAGTGACTGAAGCCACAAACCTCACCCTCAAAGAGTTCTGGAAACACCATTTTAACATTTGTACTTCTTTAAAACTCGTTGACAAAGCCTGGCAAGAAGTAACTCAAAGAACCCTGATCTCTGGCTGGAGAAAATTGTGGCCTGAATGCGTCACAGAACTAGACTTTGAGGGGTTTGAGCCTGTAAATGATGCGCCTATTGTTGAGGAAATTGTTACTCTGGGCCGCAAATGGGCTTGGAATTGGATGGTGATGTGGAAGAGTTGGTGGAAGAAGAGACAACAAAGAACTGACCACCGAAGAACTCCAAGTCATTCAAAAGGAACAGCAAGAAGACCCAGCTGAGGATGTTTCTCCAGTGGAGGATGAGGCAGCAGCGAATGTCCCTTCCGCAACCATTAAGAAGTGGTGTCAGATGTGGGAAGAGATGCAAACTTTTATTGAAAAGACTAACCCAGAGAAAGCTGTAGTAGGCCGTTGCATTAATCTTTTCAATGACAGTGTAATGCCTCACTACAGAGACATCTTGTGAAGGGAAAACAATCTTCCATGGACAGATTTGTTGTGAGAACATCGAGCAGTGAGCCACAACCAGGACCTAGTGGTATGCAGGCAAAACGTGCCAGAGAATGCACCCCAGAGAGTTCCTCACTACCTGATGTTATAATGGAAGGGGACTCCCCTTCCAAACAGTAACACCTCTCCTCCTACCCCCCTCCTCACCATCTTCCATACGCCAACAGCAGTCATCAGCAATGGTAACTAATAACTTGAACATAGTTTTGTAGTGTAGATTTTGATGAATTAGGTATAAAATTTAGTTTGAAATGAGATTTTTGGGTAGTCATGAATGGATTAATTCATTTCCCATTATTTCTTATGGGAAAATTAGCTTCGGGTTACGAGTTTTCGGGTTACGAGCTGTCTTCAGGAACGGATTAAACTCTTAAACTGAGGTACCCCTGTATAAACATTTCAGTGTCGCCACGTGGTCACCCGAAATGCGCAGCGCATAAGGGGAATGTTGAAGAGCCTTCTGCCTGGAGTGTGATAGTGTTAATGAGATTGACAATAATATCAGCAGAAAGAGGTAAAACTTGGTTCAATAATTCATGAGCGAGGTAATCAAGAATATCATCAACCGGCACCTTTGTGAACAAAGAACAAACGTCAAAACTGATTAACTTGACATTAGGATTGAGTGGAACAATTTTTAATTTGCTAACGAGTTCAATATAAAATGGTCAAATGAGAAGAGGAAATAGTTCCTAACAATGGGGACAAGATTTTGCTAAACCATTTAAAGAGCTTGTAGAAAATGGATCCCACAGAACTGATGATAGGCCTCATGGGATAGTTAGGCATATGAGTCTTGATAAGTTCATAGATATATGGTAAAGAAGGAAATGAGGTACCAAGTTGATTTAGAAGATCTTTATGGTTACTTAAAAACTTCCTCAAGCTGCTATTGAAGGACTTGATGATGTCATCAAGAGAATTTTTCCTGAGTTTGGTATAAGTTGAAGTTGGAGATCATTCATTTTGGAAATATATTCCTCCTTGTTTAGAATAACAACAGTGCTGGATTTGTCAGCCTTGGTTATATGAATAGAAGGATTGGTTCTTAACTCCTGTAAGCTTCATCTGAACCTTTCAGGGATTCAGCCAGGATTCAAACCCATGCCGTCCAGGATCACCTCTAAACGTACACAGTACCATGACCACCACAAGTCTATAAGGATTGGTAAGTCCTGGTGCTTATTAACTAAGCTCCACAACTGATCAACCCCTGACAACACTCAGATTCATTTCAGTACAGTTTTTCATCAAATTCTGGCACACATGAAATGGATCCATGAGTGTCGTCGAATTTGATCAGTCGTGGTGCTCCGTTAATAAACACTAGGCATGACCAATCCTTATAGACTATCATTGGTGCAGTGGTCATGGTACTGTGCACATTTTGGGGTGATCCTACCTTGAGGTTACCTTGAGGTGCTTCCGGGGCTTAGCGTTCCCGCGGCCCGGTCGTCGACCAGGCCTCCTGGTTGCCGGACTGATCAACCAGGCAGCCTGGTTGGTGGACTATTATCCTGGACTATCGCTTACATGTTCCTGCAGCTTTCTCACATATAGTGGTACCTCGGTTTACGAATGCCCCTCTTTACGAACTTTTTGGGTATTGAGCTCGATTTCTTCAGAAAATTTGAATCGGGTTACAAACTTTACCTCGGGATACGAGTTTTTTGATACGCGTATGGCGACCTAGCGCGTAGTGGTACGGCGATCATGCCTCAGTTTCCTAGTGCCTCCCGCCTAGTGACTATCCCGCCTGAATTCTTTACAAGGAATTATTTTTTTCGGATTTTTGGCTATTTGAATATAAAAGTTGTTATTATATATTTTGCCATGGGTCCCAAGAAAACCAGTGGTAAGGTTCAAGGCAAGAAAACACATGTGAAAACGACCATAGAGGAAAAACAAGAGATCCTTCGTAAACATGAAAATGGTAAATATGTTGTTGAACTAGCTAGGAAATATAGCAAATCTTCAGGGGAGGAGAAACTCCCGGATTCAGACACTGTGCAAGCAGTATCTGAAACCAAGGCCGGGCCAGCTACCACTGGCCAGGAGAACCACTCTCCTCAGAAAGGACTCAAGCTGTGCCAGAACCCGAAGCAACAGCCAGACTGAGGGATGAAGGTACAGGAACCCCCCACCTCGACCAGTTCTGCCAGAAAGCATCCATCCTGAATGCCTCACAATCAGGGAACGGTGCCAAATATATTGGGAGCCGACGTCGACGTGGTCCACCTCTGGGCACCCAAACATCTGTTGCCAAAGGAAGGTGGCGGCATTGACAGTACACTCCGTGGAAAGAGGAATGAAGCGAGACAGGCTAGCCGCCATGATGTTGGACACCCCCCTGAATGTACTCACCTAGTTGTGGTTGCAAGGGTTGCGTTTTGGCTCTTTGGTCCTGCCTGAATGTGAACAGCGTGGAGACTAAACCCGAGAACTCAGCAGAAAATCTACCCGAAGTGACCAGCCCCGAAGAGCCATGGACCGTAGAGACAAGGGGTGAGACAATGAACCACAGAAGAGCAGTGTGAATGGAGCAAAATCACCGAGCCCCGAGGCAACTGAATCCACTGCAGCATCTGCCACACAGCCGCAAACTCCCGCACCATGCTGTGAGCTCGACGTCAGGACTGAGTCAAACGCCCCTGCCCAGCCTGGTAAGCGCTGGTCATAAAACCCCAGCCGAGAAACGAGGCATCCATGAACACATCGAGCAAGAAAAGTGGAAGGCGCCAAGGTACCAAACCCAGAAAACCGATGAGGAAGCCAGAGACGCAGCAACCGACACAATGACCCTGGAAGTCAAAGTCAGCGATCAGGAGAGCGGCGAAAGGGGCTGTCCCAAAGATACCAGAACAGCCTCCAAAGCCAGACACTGCCCAGCGGGAAAAGACTAACCGGTCCCCAGAGAGAATCCTCGGCCACCGTTGAATGCAAGCTGCGCCAACTGCAGTGCACCCCACCCACCACAAACCTGCTCCCTACCTGGGACAAGACAGGAAGCCCAAGACCCCTGGCGAACCCCAAGGGCGAGAACAACACCAAGCAATGAAGTCCTCAAACGGGAATGAGTGAGACCCGAACGACCCAGGAAAGGTAACCCTGACTTGCAAAGGAAGTACTTACCGGGCACATGCAGCCCAGTCTACTTGTAGGAACATCTGGCCACCACCACACAACACAGCTGGCAAAGTCATTAATGCAAAGCCAGACAATAAACTGAGGTCAGAGAGGACATGTGACACTGGGCACCTCAGTCTATGAACTAGGGGGTGGTGTGGCCTGCTTGCTGAGCGGGGTCCCCCCCCCTTCCCCATCGAGGAGGGTGAGCCGCTAATGAGCGGGCGTGCTAGTTGGATGACATGTTGCTTGTTTCATTGTTTTCTATTGGGGGAAGTTCTGTGCATCGATTCAGATGTAGGTTGCATTTTAACTAGTTAGAGATTTGTAACGTTTTACCATTCTGGGTGCCTTCTCCGGTTGATGGCAAACATGACAAACTCTACATATAGAGAGCTCATAAGGCCATTGCTCCCTGCGCCTCTCATGCAGGTCAGCGTTCAATCCCCGACCGTTGAAGTGGTTGGGCACCATTCCATCCCCCTGTCCTATCCCAAATCCTTATCCTGACCCCTTCCAAGTACTATATAGTCGTAGTGGTTTGGTGCTTTCCCTTGATAATTCCCTCCCCTTCCCTCCCTGCGCCTCTCTGAGTGGACCAGGTTCTGGCTCGTGGCCCTAGGTAGGAACTTGAACTCCAAGGACTGATGGAACCAAACTAATATGGCACATGTCAGTTTGATAGCTTCAGGAAGCCGACGGGGCTCCCCTCAGAAAAAATATTAAATATATAAATACCTTTTGGAAGAGCTAGATGAAGCAGGTCGCTTCGAGCCAGGAGTTGTAGGCATAGCTGGAGGGCGAACCATACCACTGCTGTACGGCTGTGGACCTGGGGGACCTGGAGGACGCTGCATAACTGGAGCTGGGCTTCCCGTAGGACCCCCCATACCAACAGGAGGGTACTGGGATCTTTGCACATTCATCTGCTGAAAAAATATTATATTTATTAGAGCCCAAGTGAATGGAATGTTTATTTCCATGAAGTGTGGATGACAATTTATATGACGTGCGCATGGATCACCAAGTCCTCTGAACTTCAGTAGTAGTCAGGGAAAGTCAAAAATTCAAGTTTGGCAGCAGGAAGCTGCTTCTGGAAACTTTTCTTTTTAAGACTACTCAAGAGCTCGGTCGATAAAGCTTTGGACTCACACGGGTGGGGTCCACGGTTCGAGACTCCTAAAGCCCAGGTGAATGGAATGGAAATATTTGTTTCTAGTGAGGTGCCCATGGGTTGTATTTCAGCCCTCCAGGAAGCATTTCAAGTCAGGATTAGCACTGCAGTTCAGAGTTTTATATAAGTGGCACCTCAACTTACAACTGCCCCTTATGAATTTTTCAAGTTACGATGTAAATTTCGTCGGAAAATGCATCTCGACTTACAACCTTTGCCTAGACTAGCGACTTTGTTGATACGCGTATGAGTCAACCGATCACAGTTTTCCTGGTGGCACAGCCGACCCCACCTCAGTTTACCAGAGCTGCCTGTGACGATTATGCTTGTAAAGAATTTCACTATTTTTGTGCTCTTTTGTTTTTTGAACATAAAAGTAATTATTATATATCACACCATGGGTCCCAAGAAAGTCAGTGGTAAGGTTCAACCTAAGAAAACACGTGTGAGGATGATCACATCCAGTGAAGATGACCACATCCAGTGAGGATGACCACATGTGAGGATGACTCGGCTGGGTGGCCGAGTGGAGGGGCTGGGTGGCTGAGTGGACAGCGCTCTAGACTCGTGGACCTAGAGACCGGGGTTCGATCCCCGCACCCAGCAGAGACAGATGAGCAGTTTCCTTAGCCCTGATGCCCCCTGTTACCTAGCAGTAAATAGGTACCTGGGAGTTAGACAGCTGCTATGGGCTGCTTTCTGGGGGGGGGGGGGGGAATGTGTTTGTGTGTGTAGAGAAAAAAAAAAATTAGTAGTCAGTAACAGTTGATTGATTGACAGTCGAGAGGTGGGCCGAAAGAGCAGAGCTCAACCCCCACAAGCACAAATAGGTGAATACAGAAGAAAAACAAGAGATCATTCGTGAACATGAAAATGGTATGAGGGTTGTTGATATAGAGTAGAGGATTGTATTAACTCGACCGCACACCCCGCTACTACCACTGAACTAACCGTGCAATCTCCGCTCTTTCGCGCATGGTGGCACAGCGATCACGCCTCAGTTTACCAGTGCCTCGCGCCCAGTGACTATCCCGCCTGAATTCTTCACAAGGATTTACAATTTTTTGTCGGATTTTTGGTTATTTGAGCATAAAAGTTATTATTATTATATATCTCGCCAAGGGTCCCAAGAAAGCCAGTGGTAAGGTTCAACCTAAGAAAATAATTGTGAGCAAAGGCAGTAGAGGATGTCCCTTCCTCATTAACCCTTACACTGCTCAGGGGTCCTTGGGACATTTACACCCCTGTGCGCAAGAAAAAAAAAAAAAAAAAAATTTTTTTTGTCTTCTAAACATGTTAATTTGTGTCCCCTGAGCACGAAAAAAAAAAAATCGTAGGTGACATATTTTGGGCGCAATTGACCGAGGAAGTCTGGCAAAAAGTGGGCGTTGACAGAGCGGTCGTCAGACCTGGTCAGCGTCACCCGCGTTGACAGATGGGAGTTGCCACAAAGATATTATTACCTAATTGTTTCAATGTCTCTGATTGATTTTTTCTTAGTTTTTTTGCAGTAATATTATTCAATAGTGTGTATTGTAATATATTTATATAATAAAAGTGGTTAATAATCGCTATACTCAAAAGTATGATGTGCATATTAGTGATTCAATTATTATGTTTATAAAACTATAAACAAATAGTTTTGCTGCTATTACATTCTATACACAGGTTATATATAAGTATTGGCATGTTTTGGTCACCATAACGAACCACTAAGTTGGTATTGAGAGTCGAAAAGCAACGAGGAGTTACCGCCACACACCAGCCAGCCACTCGCTGCCACTCCCTCAACACACGCACTAAACTTTCTCCTCCAACAATACCAGTTGTGGTGTTATTACACTATATACAGACGTTATATATAAGTATGTGTATATTTTGTTCACCACAACTGTACAGCTAAGCTGATATAGTTAGTTCAGGCACTAAGAGTCGTCGCTATACACAGATGGCGGCTGGCGGCTCCCTCACTCATTCAAGGTCACACGCACTAAACTTTCTCCCCCAACAATACCAGTTGTGGTGTTATTACACTATATAGAGACGTTATGTATAAGTATGTATATATTTTGTTCACCACAACTGTACAGCTAAGCTGATATAGTTAGTTCAGGCACAAAGAGTCGTCGCTATACACAGATGGCGGCTGGCGGCTCCCTCACTCTTTCAAGGTCACACGCACTAAACTTTCTCCCCCAACAATACCTTTTGCAGTGTTATTACCCTGTATACACATATTATATATAAATATCTACATGTTTTATGCACCGTAACTGTACACCTAAGCTTGTAGTGCGCCCAAAGAGCATAGTGGCCACCCTCTAAACAGCTAGACAAATCGTGCAGACGACGTCACCTCCGTCACCCATATGGCTCCTCCCAGCATAATCCTTTTGCTGTTATTACACTAATACACACATTATATATAAGTATCTACATTTGTGTTCACCATAGAGAACCACTGACCTGGTATGGTGAATGCAAACAATAACAGGTGGCCACACAGTCAGTAAACGATGCTGTCTCCCTCCGTCTCTCAGCATCACTCCTCCCACAGCGCTAATTATTACAACAATCCTGCTATTACCACAACCCTGGTTATTTATATCACAGTCATTGGTCATCTGTAATATTGTTATCGCTAAATAATAACAATTACATATTTATTTTGACATTTTTCGGCGATGCTGTGGTCACAAGCTGAACATCAATGCTGTTCGCTCATGCTGCGTGCGCCGGCCTTGGTTGCTCCAACAGTACTGTGGCTCTAACACCTGAGAATATTGCCCACGATTTTTTTTTTAAAATGGCATCTGTTTACAAGAGCCCTGAGGAAGCTACTGTGAACCCCGTGTAGCCGCGGACCATTTGAATCAGGCCTGGCACCCTATGGCGTATATATACGCCATGCTCACCATGGGACATGTTACTCAGGGCGTATATATACGCCATGCGCAGTTTAAGGGTTAAGAAAATGTGTGAACTATAGGAAGAAATGTAAAGTTTTGTTGAAAAAACTCACCCAAATAAAAAGCTGTAGCAGGCCATTGCATTGACCTTTTAAATGGCAATGTGATGTCTTACTACAGACAAGTGTTAAAATGTAGGGAAAAACAAGTGTCTTTAAACAGATTCTTAGTAAGACAAGCAAGCAGTAAGCCACAAGCAGGTCCTAGTGGTATGCAGGCAAAACGTGCCAGTGTGCACACACCAGAGAAGTCCTCACTACCTGATGTGATAATGGAAGGGACTCCCCTTCCAAACAGTAACACCTCTCATCCTCCCCCCTCCTCACCATCTTCCATATGCCAACATGAGTCTTATTTGGAAGCAAATCATCAAATGCAATTCAGCTACAGATAGACAAAACATTAATATCAGTAATAAAAATGATGGCAAATTTCTTGGCCTATTCCTAGACAAGGGACTCAACTTCAGCACCCACATTCAACACATAACTAAGAAAGTCTCTAAGACAGTTGGTATACTCTCCAAAATCAGATATTATGTTCCTAACTCTGCTCTCCTCTCACTATATTATGCACTAATCTACCCCTATCTTAATTATGGTATCTGTGCATGGGGGTCTACCACTGCAAACCACCTTAAGCCCATCATCACACAGCAAAAATCTGCTATCAGAATAATAACTAACTCTGCTTTCAGACAACACTCAGCTCCCTTATTTAAATCCCTAAACTTGCTAATTATTAACTCCCTCCACACATTCTCTTGTGTCAACTACATTTACAAAACCCTGTTCTTAAATGCAAACCATGCTCTGAAACTCTCCCTGGACAGATGTAATAGGACCCATTATCACCACACCATAAATAAATATCTCTTTGATATCCCCAGGGTCAAACTTAATCTGTGTAAACACTATGCAAATTAAGGGACCTAGTCTATGGAACTCACTCCCTAGTGAATTGAAAAACTGTAAAACTTTTGCCTTATTTAAAAGTAAAACCAAAAAGTACCTAATCTCATCTAATTAGTTTCCTACACTGAGCTTTAAATTTGCTCTGTACCTAGTGTTACCCAATCTCCTAATTTTTATGTAGTAATCAAACGACCTTATCATTGTGCTCATTGCTGTCTTCTTTTATGTGCTAGCCATATGCTGTATTGTGACTACCAATTTTTGTCAACTACCATTCAAGCTGTCATTGCAATCAATCTTATATTGTTTCTGCTGTATTGTGCCTACCAATTTTTGTCAACTACCATTCAAGCTGTCATTGCAATCAATCTTAGCTACCTATGTGCTTTAATATACTGTACCTACAATTTTCTCATCTTCTTTTTTTCATTCCATGTAACTGTTATCATTTTTTTGTCTATAAATTTTGCAAGTATTTACTCCTTAAAATTGTCTTAGATTAAGGACCTGCCCGAAACGCTGCGCGTACTAGTGGCTTTACAAGACTGTAATTACCATATTATGTATCCTCACATTCCCAATGTACATTCTTGTATATGCATAAATAAATAAATAAATAAATCAGCAAGGATAAGTAATAACTTGTACATACTTTTGTAGTGTAGATTTGGATGAATTAGGTATAAAATTTAGTTTGAAGCGAAGTTTTTGGGTAGTCAGGAACGGATTAATTCATTTCCCATTATTTCTTATGGAAAATTAGCTTCGGTTTACAAGTTTTCGGGTTACAAGCTGTCTCCAGGAACAGATTAAACTCTTAAACCGAGGTACCCCTGTATAGTGTAATAACACCACAAACAGTATTGTTGGAG